CTGGGAGGCGAGCCCAAAACGTGACCACGCAGGACCTGGGCGCTGCCGATGATAAGGTGCCACTAACCGCCCCCGGAACGCGGCCCAATTACCTTCTTTTTCTTCTTTTTCTGGGTCTTCCGGCTTGCAGAACTTTGTAGAAGGGCCTGGAGACAGGAAGGAAACAGAAGCAGCTAGAACGCCGACTCCTTTTTTTGACGGCGATAAAGGGAAACACCTTTCAAGCAGGCGGCGCGCCACGGAAGGCAGGCTGGCAGGTCCCAAGGGGCGCGGTGACAGAGTGGGAGCCCCGCAGCCTCGCTCCCTGCCTTGGAGCCGGCTCTGGAGACCCCGCAGCAGCTCCTGGGGCAGGGCCGGGCATCCTTATCACGCCCTGAGAGCTGGTGCTTGAGGCGGGGAAGAGGAGCCCAACCTGCTCGTAAGCAAATCGTTTCCTCTTTGAGCTCGGGCCTCAGCCCCCTCCCCACCACGTCGTTTTTAAACCAACCTTCAGTTCTCCGTCTTGCACCTCAAACTCCGACTTGTAGAGTTCCGGTTCAAAGGGGCCGCTCGTTATCCTCATGGGACCGTTGGGCATTAAAAGCACTGTGAATTTGAACTGTGCAACAAACTCTCCTGCAAGACAGAAACGGGCGTCACTACGCCGGAGCCCATCCACAAGGGATCCCAGATGTTTCCAACCAGATGTTGCCATCCCTGTGCCATTTCCATGCTGTTGCTGCTAAAAACCATCTCGCAGGAACGTCTTAAACCTGCCCCGGGCCAGGGCAAAACAATTCCTTCAGCACTGCCCCCTCTAAACCCGCTCTTCAAGCGAACCCAAGCGCCTCAGCCATCAATCCTTCCTCCTGCCCAGGAAATTACTCCACAGAAAATCTCATCTCATCACTGGAACGACTCCAGAACAAGATCCAGAAGCCAACGGGTTTCCTGGAGGGTAAAGCCCAGGGCCCTTGAAGTGCATCGCTGGTATTTCCACAGCGACAGGCAGCACCAGGCTCACCCGGCTCCGGAAGAGACCGCCAGTTGTCCGCCGAGCGCCCCTCCGCACCCGGCTCCCAGCCCTCCCACCGCCAGCACTCACCTTCCTTTTCATAGAGGACGTTGAAAGGCTGGAGCAGCTCGTGTTTGGCGCATTCCACCACCCCCATCCTGGCCTTCTTCTCATCCTCAAATGCCCTGCGGAGGAGACAGAGCCACACCTGAGCTCAGGGCCCTTCCCAGAAGCCAGATCCCCCGGCCCCACCCGCAGGTTTCAGCGTTGCCCCCAGGGTCAGGCTGGAGACTTCAGATTCACTTGCACCCCCCTCGCCCCAGCAGTGTCGTGGTGCAGCGGCGAAGCCGACTGCCAGAGCGGGCAACTGCCGGGTGAACCATAACCTCCAGAGAGCGGAAAAGGCAAGTGGGCTTTGGGATGAGAGGAGCCCAGCAAGCGCTCGTTGCCTTCTTAGTTTGAGTAAATCCCTTCAGAAAAGCCAATCAGAACGGCCTCGCCTCTGCACGCTGTGCCCTGACGCTGCTTTCACCCCTCTGTTTTATTTTAGACGCAATTCCCGGCTCCCCACCTGCCACCCGAGGCGCAGGAGATTCTCAAATCCTCAGGCTCTGCCTGGGATTCCTCCTTAAGCCTGTGACATCCTTCCTCCACCCACTCCTAGGCTCAGATACAGCAAACCCCAGCGTAAAGCAGCAGGGGCGGCCAAAGCACGTCGGCTTTGCCGTCAGCACGGTCTGTAAGCTCACGCAAAGCATCCGGCTCTGAACGCGCGGGGAGGCCAGGAATAAAAGCAAATACCTGAGAGTAAATGGCATAGTATCGAAGCGCCTCTCCACCTCACTGAAAAAGGCACGGGAGGTTTTCATCTTCAAGCCGTACTGTTTGGAGGGGTCCCTTTTGTAAATCGTGGTTCTCTGCCCAGCGTCCTTCGCCTGAAAACGCAAAACAGAGCTGAGAGACCAGGAGAGCAGCGCAGCCACCGGCCCGCGCGCGCTGGGGCCTTCACGTCAGACAAGCACCGCCCGTACTCCGGCACGGTAAAGGCGCACCTCAACTTTTTGAAGGGAAAAAGCTCCACCCAAAGACACAGCGATACCCAGGCACCAAGCGCTCCCCGCTGGAGCTGGCACCCACGAGGACGCGGTGTTCGCACCCGTCGCTGCTGCTGACCACACGCGCAGAGGAGCGGCAGGCCGAGAAGCACCGGGCTCACCTTTCCCTCTCCACTGCTGACAAGAACATCGACAGCGTAAACTTCATGGACCTCAAATTCTGCTTTTTCGTGGTCCTTCCTGGAGGAAAAGAAGTTTGGTGAGTCAAAGAATGGTAAGTAGGGAAGACAAAGCCTCCTACACAACCACAATTCCTCAAACAAGCCCACGCTGGGCTTGGCCAGAGAAGGTCTGCAAGCACAAAGTATCACAGAATGGTTGAGGTTGGAGAAGCCCTTTAAGGTCACCAAGCCCAACCATTCCCCTAACCCTGCCGTCCCACTACTAAACCCTGTGCCTAAGCACGAGTAGTGCCAGAGAGTGGCCAGATCCTGACCAGAAGAGCAAAAGCTGGCACAGAAATGCAGGAGTTGCCACGAGGAATGGACCAGGCGGCGGAGCTGAGCAGCGAGAGGCCGGCAGAGCATGACGACGACAAGCCGGTGCTGCTCCTGCCCGTGACAAGCAGCAACATCCCCACAAAGGGGCAGGAGGTCTCGGACATCCCACACCAGCTCCCTGAACTCGTGGGCACGTCCTAGGCAGGCCACGAGTCCCACCACGCCTGCTGTTGCCACGCCTGAGAACTTCCAGTCCGAGTGCTGGATTTCAAGCCACCGAGCTCTAAATATTCAGCGCGAGGCCCAACCCCGAGGGATCCCTGAGGGAGAGGAGCTGCTGGAATGGCATATCCAGCTCAGGAGTTCGAAACCACCCCGAGATGCTATCAACAGTGGGCTCCTGGCTGCTTCTGCGAGACCAACGATAGGTCTTGGCACGGCTCCTGGTGAGTTAGCATCCACCGCTGCGACTAGCAACAGTTGGTTATTCTGCTGGCAGCCTCCAGCGGGCTCCTTTGAGAAACTGGACAGGAACCAAGAACACTCGCAGGTGCCAGCGAGGAGCCCCACGCCAGTGACTTCCAGCCTCTCTTTCTCAGAACCACCCCCCAAACACGGAGCCACTCTTCATGCAGGACGGACAAGAAGATGTGGGGCTAACGAGCTACAAATACGCCATACAGGGTCAGCCTTCAAGACAGAGGCCATACGGGGAGCAGTCTGTACCCCGGTTAAATTAAACATACCTGCTACGTCCCCTACTTGATACCGCAGCGAGAAACAGGGTCACCGCTGGGGACTTAGTCACCCCCCTCCCCAAATGCTGCTGGAAGCAGCAACCCTGGAAGCGATGCTCACTTTTGCTGGTCTGTCGGGTTCTGGATGATTGTTTTCTCTCCATCGATCACGTGCTGTTTCAGCTGGTGCGACAGCATCCCTGCCGCGAGAAGAGAATCCATTAACACCTCTGAGCTGCAAACCAGCGACACACTGCCTTGCGTTATTAACGCTCCGGGGCCCCGACTGCAGCCCGCAGCTAGGGCGGAACAGTCAAGCGAACCATCGGCGGCGTTTCGGCTTCCTCAGCTTCCCTCGGTCGTGGAACGTCAAGTGCATTAGCACAGAGACGGAGCTCCCCAAAGCCCGCTCCGACTTCAGCAACGCTTCACGACCAGCGAGGAGGAGCCGCGAGCTCCCGTGAGAGGCACAGGCAGAGGCCGAGCCCTTTCGCCTCCCGCCGCTTCTTGATCAGGCACGTGCACTACACCAGTGGGCTGGAGGCGAACCCGCAGGCACGTGCGACGCACCCTCGGGTGTTTTTAAAGATGCCAAATATCAAATTAATGGAAGCTTTTGGTCCTTTCCCCAGTACCTCGGCTCAAAGGGTATTTGGCGGGAGGGGGTTGCTTCACTTTTCCCTCCTGCCCTACAGTTCACCTTCAAATGGAAGCGTAGGAAGAGGCACTCGCAGCCATTCCTGTTTTGCCCCCCAAGCCACCAGCCCAGCAGGGACAGTTGCATGTGCCC